TATTTCTGACTCCTTTCATTAACCGTAGAATCTCTAATAACCCTATAAGCGCAATAATAGTATATATAGAACAAGCAAAATCTGTCATTTAACACTAATATTTGTTTACTTCATATGTCCAATTTCTGAGGACTTGGTTATTCACCACTTGCCTCACGTCTGGACTGAATATTGCCTCACGTCCGGACCAGACGGTCTACGGAAGGTAAACAAACACAAACGATGTTCGCCAGTTTGTATAAGAAATTTGTAGAAAATTTCTTTGAAAATAAATTTCTAGATTTTTGCTTTCACAAAATTTCCATATCAAGGAAAATCATAGATTATTGATGGATAATTAAATGCATATTAATTATTAAGTATTATACATTTTCTGTCTCTTGTCCCTTGACAAAATGTATGTGCGCGCTACGCCGACGCTTGCACGCGCTGCGCCAATGCTTGCGTGTGCAAGCAGGGATGGCCAGAAGTTGCACCAACTGTACGCCGCAATAGCTTGAAAAATGTCAAAATGTGCGGGAAAATTCCCTGAAAACATATATAATCCTGAGTGTGGTCCACGTGTTTGAATTCCGATTGCTGTGTGAGCTGCATTGGAATACGAATATTGGAATATTCATTCTACACAAACAGTTTATCACTATTTGGTAGCCACTGTGCAGAGAGTGGATGAATATTGCAAGATCTTTGGCGATGCTTCAGTAGCAAAATTTATGCCTTCAGAAGATCTTGCTGACACATTTAGATTGAAATTCTTTCATTTAATATATTTGTCAGTCTTCGGCCAACTATTTAAAAAAGTAAGGTTTCCGGTATGTTGGATTGATCAGTATGCAGTGAAGCTTGTCCGGAAATCAGTTGCGATGAGTTCCCACCAAAAAAATGTAAACATCAAGTTTATGATTACGTAGTTGCAGTCACATTAGAGTGGTCAGACTGCATTATCAGGTTTATCACATGTTCAGTTGACACTTGCTGTACAATCGGACTGTTTTTAGGGTAAAATTAGTTATTTGGAGTAAGACGTGCATGCAACCTTGTAAATAAGTTCGTGGCTTGTAAATAGTTTTTCATTACTCAGCGTAAATGGATTTTCATTCAAAATTACCCGGCGACGCATCTTAAAATTACCCGGTGACGCTTAGGGCTTAAAAACCCATATATTGGCAACGCTGCATCCACCCTCTGCACCATGGTTTGGTAGAGCTAGGTCAACTGTCAACTTTGACACATTTTTTGATGATCTCATTGGGTGGCATGCACTGTCTCTCTTTGGATCTCAACATTTTCCTGCTAGATGGCTCAGAGAGACCTAGTGTTTTGGCAGTAGTTTGACACGCAAATGTATGACGTCACTATTTCAACCATCAACGAACGCATGGAACTAAAACAAAGCTTAATAAAAAGGAAAAACTAGAGAGGTGTTGGAATTACCCACGATGTCAGAATTTATGTGATTGAATTGTCGGAATTGGTGTTGGAATTACCCACGATGTCAATTTTCAATTGATTTTTAAAATATGGTTGTTAAAGCCTATAAAGGGTTAATTTAAATTTAATATCCCTTTAGAATTCCATACAATTGGTCAGACTTAGAAGTCAACAAATAATGTTCTCCAATGCCATTAATGATTATGAATTGACAATCAATGGCAATGGGCATTGTGACTGTGACTGTCTACATTGAACTTCAAGACAAGCTGAAATATTCCAAAATGGAACTAGGTACCATAAAATGGGGTTACTTTGACCGGCAGAGTTACTTTGACCACTTTTTGTTTTTTTAACAAAAACCCCCAAAACTCAAAAATGATTTGACATAGAAAAATTTGTCAATGGCCATCAAAGGCCTAAAGGCTAATACTGAGGCTACGTAAGACAATAGAAAGATTTAAAAAGTTTGCACATCTAATAGGTTAAAAAATTAATAATGTGACCCATGAAAAAGAGCTATTATTTAAAGCCTGTCGGAGTACCCCCTCCATTTTTTTTCATTTTTTGGTAAAATAACTCCAGGTTTTGATGCATTGTATAGTATACCGTAACTCTTCTAGTTACATACGCAAAAGACAAATTTTAGGAAAGTGTCATAGTTTGCAAATGGGGGGCGCTGCCCCCCAATGGGGGAACTTTGACCACCTGATGGCAGCCGTGACGGGGTAACATTGACGGTGATTGACCGGCTTGGAAATTAAGTTAAAAATTACCGTAGGTACCTATATAACATATTTTATGTTTGATACACCTATTAATGTTTTTTTCTTTATGTTGCAGACTCTACAGAGTCTTATATATGGTAATTTTAACTCAATTTCCAAACCAGTCAATGTTACTCCGTCACAGCTACCAGTAGGTGGTCACATTTCGCCCATTGGGGGGCGGCACCCCCCATTTGCAAACTATAACACTTTCCTAAAATCTGTCTTTTGCATATGTAACTAGAAGAGTTCTACTACAATGCACCACAACCTGGAGTTATTTGGAGTTAGGGTAAACGCGGTATATTCCGACACATTAAGGGGAGCGTCTACCCTAAAATTGAAAATTTTCACTTTTTCGGTTTTCATACTAATTTTAAAGCTGACATTCTGCCCTATCCAACGGTACCACTGCCATCTCTCTATGTTGATTTATGATTTCACGACATTTCATGAAAGGGGGGTGGGTGGGGGAGTTCTTTAAGTAATGTTTTCTTTCATTTTTTTCGAAAAATTGACACGAATAAAAGCTGTCTATTTTTTGATTTTACATATGTGTACCAAGTTTCAAAGTGATCCGTCTGTAAATAGCCGAGATAATTTTTGGGGCAGACGCTCCCCTTAAGGACGCATCGAGAAATGAAAAACTATAAAAAAAACCATATGCGTTACGTAAGTTCTGTTGCCTTCACATGACTCTCAAAACACTTCACTCCGCGTCAGCAACGATGAAACATACACAAAATGTTGCCATATTTATTAAAAAGCCTTTAGAATGGAAACCTACCAAATCCCTATATTTTGTCACTTTGTGTGGCAATATTCAACACATGGTGAGTCGTATTGCATCAGCGCTTCAAATTTAACTGATACGTATTGCCGACATCCAACATCCACGTGTTCAAATTCCGTTTGCTGTGTGAGCTGTATCGGGATACAACACGGCTTTGAATTAGAACACTAACGAATATTGAACACTACTGAATTACGTTTTAATTAACAGCTATTAGGCTTTTAATTAAGCAAATTTAAATTTTTGTACAAAGCTTTGAACGATCTGTGTGTGTCCAATTCAAGTTGTGTCGGAATTAGTTTTCATGTGTCTAAATCCAACATCTTAACTTAATCATCTATTAATTTATTTATGACTTGAAATCAGCGAATACAAGTATACTTAAAGGCATAGTGGAAGTCTATGAAGAGAGGTACTTATGTCGGTCCACCCCCGTGCGGCGGTCCGCGGTCTTAACCCTTTGCAAGGCCCCATGCCTTTGGCCCTTGGGCCCCTGTTGCAAGTTGCAATGATCTAAACTCAACGGTTTGACTCCCATGGTCTCATCACAACTCCCTTTAGAAATACGTAAAGTTTTGAAATTGATATAAATATATAAATAAATATTTGAACTGGGAAATTCCTTAGTTACTTACGTTGGTTCCAGAATGATATCAATGACGTAAAAAATGACAATGACAATTATGACATTGGTTAAGAAGCTTCAGCCATGATCTCAGCTCTGCTCAGTCCTTTTACCTTGTAATTAATTATATTAGAACTTTGATGTTCAAATGTCGATACTACTGGCAACTGGTGTAGTGACCTTGACGCTCCAATTATGACAGAGCGCTCCAATTTCCCAAAAGCTCATGTTCTTTTATTTATACTATGGAATGCCACCATGCTGGCAAGTGTCAATATCACAATCAAAATTATTTCACCATCAGAAATATGTTATAATATCACAATCGAAAATATTATTCACAAATAACCATCGATTTCAATCGAAAACTGTTCCCATCTGGCATCTGTCAGGCTTTGTTTACATATACCTGCGGTGACGTCACACATAAGAACACGTGGTACACCAAGAACATCAACATAAAAAAATGCATTATTTCGGTGTACCACAAATAAATAAATGTAAATAATTAGCAATGGAAAATGTGTTGCTGCAACATTTTGAGAGACTGTGCCTAAGCAGAATAATATATTATTATTATCATAGTAAATATACCAAGTAATAAAGTAGTTCCTTGAATGGCCACTGCTGGCGCTAGGATCTGGAT